TGGGAACTGCGTTCATTGCGGAGCAGAAAGGTGCAGCTGTCACTGGTGAGGCGTGTGAAGTTCCAGAGTTTTAGGTTACTGGCGAGGCCTGAGGTGAATATTTTGCAGGCCTGTTTGATGCCATATATGTTGCCGGTGAGTACTCCGACATGTCCTGGGTGTTTGTATGACCCGTCAAATTGGGGTGGCTGATGGACGTAGATTGTCTCTTCAGGGGCGAGTAGTTCGTGTAGGAAGGCTGATTCGAGGGAGGTCCCAGTGTTCGGCAATGAGGGGGGTTCCGGCGGTGAGGGCAAGGGCGCAGCGGACGGCGTCTCGGTCCGCGACAGGGCTGGATATGCTATCAGGGTCATAGTGGACGTGCGGGGTCTGCTTGTCACCCCGGGCTGTACATCTGGTTTTGCGGGAGATGATGTTGCCAGATTCATCACGTTTGAGGCGTAGTGTGGATTTTAGGGGGAGCAATGTGGCATCTAGTCGGAGGGATGATTTGGGAATGTATGAGAGGGTGCCGTGTTTCTCCAAGCTTTGAAGCTCAGAGTTCGAGAATTCTTCCCAGAGATGGGAGTCTGGTGCACGTCGTGCGGCGCGGAGAGAGCGTGGGATGGTCGCCGCGTCGCCGTGTTCGGTCTTGGGGTTGAGGGTGTTGAGGCAGAATGTGGGCATGGCGATGAGCGGTTCGATGTGATCATCGGTTGTGATACAGTGTTGATTGTGGTTGAGGAGAACCGGTGGGGCGTGTGATTTGACGCGTGGGGGAGGCGGGGGCGCGATTGTGCTGATACAGGGTCGCGGCTGGGGTCGTAGGGGATAAATTCTGACGCACGACATCGGCCGTTTTTTGTGGTGGTGTTCCAGGTGGCATAGTGGGTTGGGTCTGTACGGTAGAGGTAGCGGTGCAGGTGGGAGCGAGCCTGCAGTTTGGATTTCGGTGCAGGGTCTGTCACATAGCCGTATTGGCCGAAGGGAGGAGTGTATTGATGGTGACTGGTGTGCGGGACCACAGTGTTTGTGGGAGTTGCTTGTGGGAGCGGTGTGGGGTATGGTTGTATTTGTCGATATAGTCCCGGGCGGCGTGTTCCCAAAATTGGTGGGGCAGGGCCGAGGAGGCCAGGGCAGCTCTGACATTGTCGAATATTGTGCGATTGGCACGTTCGGCTAGGGAATTTTCTTGGGGAGTGTGAGGGATAGTGGTGTGGAGGGTAATTTGTTGGTTGTCGTAGTATGCACGGAGGTCATGGGAGATATACTCCTTGGCCTTGTCACTGGTTACATGTCGTACGGTATGGCCCGAGAGTGGCTAGACCGATGTGAGGAATTTTTTGACATTGAGTGCGGCGAGGGTGCGGGTCGGGTGGAAGGAGGCAAACAGCTTGCGGCTTCCTTCATCGATAAAGGTGATCATGTACCGGTTGTTATCGAGGGAGAGAGGGGTGATGGGGCCACACATGTCGGTGTGAAGGTGTGTGCCAGGGGCTGCGGCGCGTGGGTGACCATGGAATGGAGAGCGGGATTTCTTTCCCACGAGGCAGCCCGTGCATGTG